CCTAAATAAGGAGACTGCCTCATTATTTCTGATTTAGCAGTAGTCTGGAATATCAAATGAAGCATATAGAGTTGAATTCAGTTTTTGGATAGGAAATAAGCATAACATAGCTGAAACTGGATAAAGAAGTCTGGAGATGGTGTCTCCTTATTTAGCTCCGCTCCACTAATCAACTGGCCAGCACTAAAGTGAACATAAGCAGGAACTTGGGTGTGTGCATAAGTAAACATTTTGTCACTGTTATGTACATTTCACATGGCTGAAACTAACTGTGAGAAGTCATTCAGCACTCATCACACAACAGTTTAAGATCTTAGGAGGTTAAGCAAAATACACACTCTAAAAAGAGAAAGATTAGAAAATGCAAACGTATTTCGACATTAGAAAAAACAAGTAGTGAGAGCAGGTGACTTCTTAATAAAGGACTTTTACAGACTCAAGAGTTCTATTAAAGATTTTCTGGGAAGGTAGCATATGCCAAAATACTTCTAACACATACTAATAATACTTCAAGAACTGGAAAACATGACCTTTTGCTTAGTGCTTTAAGCTAGGTCTTAAAAAATCCAAGAGGCCTGTTCTTTGAGGCTGGACAGATTTCTGCACTCTGATAGGATTAAAGACTCCCACTTATTTTAGAGTTAATTCAGATTTAACAAAAACACACACAATCAAAACTAACCAACCAAAAAACACAATTAAATTTAACTTCTATTATTAGAGGCATGAACTATGATCATAGATGTATATGATCAAGGAAAACAAAAAAAAAACCATCCTTCTCTAAGTTGACACTACAAATGCAAACTCTAGTAAGTTTTGATAGCTCGGAGTGACACTTTGCTATCAGAACTTGCCTAAAGGCAGAAATAATATACTAATTAGACAGAATAAATGTACTAATACTGGGCTTTTTAATTTATATGTGTTTAGTCCATATTAGTACTTAAAACTTCACTCTGTGAATATTTCAGCTTACAGTGGCAGCAAGACTGACACACACCTAAGATATCAACAGGCAGTCTAGGCAAAAAGGCCTTCCCCAAAGGCAAGGAGGTTACAGAACTTCACATGGGCCATACTGGTTTATGACAACTAACAGGTAAAACTGCCTCTGAAGCACAAAGAGCATGACCAATTGCCTGGGGACCCTTGAAAACCTGTGATCATAAACTGCTGCAGGCAGCTGATAAATTCTCAGATGGGGGGGTTAGAAAAAACACCTTAAATATAAATAGCTTCCTGGAGTTTATTGCTCACTTCTGTTGATTTCTTTTGTGATAGCCACCTCTTCCACTACCAAAGTAACCCTACTGTAACTGAAGATACAGTTAATCATTATTTGTACCTTAAACTTTCTTTCCAGTTTCAGCCATGATATGCTTACATCTTGTCTGAAAAACTGAATCCAACTCTCTAAATTCCATTTAAGATTTCAGATTACTGCTAAATCAGAAATAATCCAGAGGGAATTTACTTTAAATTTAGCCATTCTTAAGCAACCATATTCCTAAATGCTTTGTACCAATTCAGCTTAAATCAACCAAATTAAGCTGATGCAACTTTTGAAAACATTCAGTGCTGTGCCCAAGAGACTCAGCATTTCCCCAAGAAAGAACAGGTGTACAACCCTAATCCTAATTTGCATCAGTAACCACAGACACAACAACACTACAAAGTTCAGTGCAGAGTTTACTGCATGGCACAGAATCCCAGTAAGATTCAGCCTGAGGAAATCACTATATATAAAAGACTAAAGACTACAGAACAGAGCAGAAAGAGATAAACTCTAAAGGCCAGGAGAAAAGCTAGGAACAGGAAGACATTGCAATGTGTAACTTCTAAGATCAGACTCTGGAACCCTCACAGTTCTACTAATATCAGCAACTTCATTTTTATATACAAACTTTATCTATAATAAGTGAGATGTTCTTGAAATTTATACATGGCAGTTGAAAGTTAACCTCTATCAGCTGGGGAGGGTAAGTGACATCTGATTTTTTGTTCAGGTACCTTCAAATAAACAGGACTTTCTCCCATTCTCGAGTTACACATCAGAAAAACTATTTTTTTCTGAAAAAATAATACATGCTTTTTTGCTATAAAATTCTCTTGTCAGAAAGAATGCAGTGAAGTTTTCCTGATTCATGATGCTCATTATTTTCTCTGATGATCTAAACCCAAATACTGTTTCATTAAGAAGCATTCTATTTGAAATCATCACCTCAAGAGCCTCAGATACTCTGATAACTGTTTCTTCATCCATACAACAGACCAGATGCCAACATTTTTAAATGCCATCAGATTGCAAGCAGGACCCATCTGACATACAGTAAAGCAGAAAGTTTTACTCAGCAACCACAAGCATAACCTCAAAGCACAGCAGTCCCCTTATTTTACAGATACTGCATATATATTAGCTAGAGGGCAAGTACCACATTTCCCTAAAGCTGATTCACTTTTACTTTATATTTTTGTCCTATTAAAATTCCTATCAACAGCCACAGACTTCCAAAACCAATTATATTGGTAAGAAGTACTTCATTCTCTTTATCACCCATATCCCCACAAGATCTGTTCTGGGGAAGAGAAACAGTGATACCTGCTAGTGTTAACTTAAGCAAGCATCCTCATACAGGAGACACTTGTGGCTATTAACGTTCTGGAGCCTCACTAGAACAGCTGGGTTTCAGGAGAGTTAAGAAATGTCCAGAATAGACTTTCTGTTTGAAACATAACACAGAGCTATCTGTGTTACGTAAAACTTCCCCATTAGCAGCTCTTAAGTTCTTCAGCATCTGCTGGGACAGTGGTGCCTGGATGTCTGACATTCTTAGTGTGCACAGCATCTTTGGGGACAGTGGTGTCCATGGTACAAACAATTCACCCAGCAGGGAGAGAGCTCTGAAGACAGTGGACCTAGTGTTACATTAATCTTCGCAGCATCTGTGCAGATCAGTGCAATACCACAGCCATACTAAAGAATATGTCACAGCATCTGTATTGTCCACTTACCACAAATGGTATCAAAAACTATTGTAGGCCAACAGCCCACCAAAATTAGGAAAAAAAAATCCAAACAGAAGAGGCATGCAATTTTATTACAAATACCTCTGTCTTCAAAGACCACTTCTGTTCCAGAAGACTTAAGTGTAATGAGCCATTTCTTCAAAAACCTTCTACATTCTCTGCTTCTTTAAAAAGGCTTCTCATTTTTTAAATCCATCACTTGTTTCAATACTTATTTTGTTAATCCTTGAAAATCAATACACAATACGTCTCAGTCTTCATACCTTTAATATGCTGTACCCATACACAATAAATAACTTCAGGCTTTAGAAATAAAAATACCTACAATTAAGTCTGTTAATTTCACCTCCTCCAGAGACAGGGAGGTACATGTGCGAGCTGAGTTTTTTGCATTGATAAGCAAATCTTCAGTTTTTCACTACACTGTACCCCTGATATAACACTTCTGATGTCTACTTGAAACATTAAGTTCTGAATTCATTTCTGTCTTACAATATTACAACTAGAGCACACCTCTACAGTACAGAAAAGCAGATGCTTATCAACATGCCATCCATGGCTCAATATTTAAAATTCAGGAGTAAAGGCATTCTATATTGAGATTGCCAACCCGTGACTGAAAAAAAATAATCTGTCTTTGTGCTCTTCAAATTGTAATTTCTCTATTGCGTAAGTTCACTTCAAGGACAGCATGGAAATCCACCTCATTAGGGGCTTTTATCACCTCACTATTGTTGTCCCCTTAGATTTTCACCTAAAGTTTCTCCCGATCACCACTTGATTTGTCCAATACTCTCTAAGACTGACATATTACACAGGGTACACTGGAATATTTTTCTGGAGGACACAGACAAGTATGTTTTTCAGCAGAAAGCTCAAAATCAGACACAGATTATCACAACCTATAAGGAAAGAAATATGGAAGCAAGCACATTGACCTTTCTAGTAAATTAAGCCTTAGATTATTTAAGTTAGGGCAAAATAAGAAATCAAAGTTATTAGTTTCACAGCAAGAAAGCAAGAAAGTAGTTAAGGCTATAGAGCCTCAAAAACCTGCCTTGTCAAATAATAGATCTAAGCAACTACATTAAATATAATGAAAAAAAGTAAATTGATTTCGGACAAAGCATTTAATAAATGTGGTTTAAAGTGAAGCCTGCCAAAACTCCTGCAAGGCCTGCTGTCTCAGATGAAGTACCATGCACCTGCTCAGTTTATGCTAATACTCCTACAGAGCCATTCACTTGTATAATTAACTGTGCACAAATTAATAGCTGTCAAGTGGTTTAAGGACAGATGTTTGATTTCCTAAGGTGTTCAAATGAAACAAAATAAAATGTTTAGAAATGGACTGAACTGAACAACAGATATTCTACATTGTATCCTAGTTTTATTACTTTGCTAGAAGACTATGCATTAACTACTTTTCACAAGGATTCAAAGCTAAATTTACGCCAGAAACCGTATAACATTAAAACAAAAGCAACCTGCCACTAAGTCAAAAGTTCAGTTCGGCAGCAGTTCAGGAAGTTTAAGAGTGGCTTCAACAGAGCAGACATGCAATAACAAAAAAAACCCCACCTATAACAAAAGACCTTTACAACACCCTTAAGAGCCTTATAATAATACTTTATCTTCCTGAGCTGAAATCGCACATTTTGAAGTCCCCTCCTGAGCAGCTAGGTATGCGGTACTGCTCTAAGAGGTATGTACGCATCGCCCACACCAAAACCATAGAATTTTACTCTCAGACTAGGTATGTTCCACGTTGGCAAGAGAAATCAAAACAGCAGGTGCCCTCCCTAGCTAGAGGGGCCTCAAACTCTAGAAATGGAAGAGACCACAAGCGTGGGACTGCTCTTCCCAGTCTCCATCCAGCTGACAGCTGTAGGTCTTCTGCGAAAGAGGGTCTCCAAGTGGGCACCTGTGGTACGCCACGCTTTAATCCACCTCTGCCGCTCCCAACTTACCTACTCAGCCGTATATGCAAAATCTCGCACTGCTGGCAGTTCCTCTCCAAAGGCGGCTGGAAGTCGTTTCTGGAGCCTCAGGGCTCCTGGGTTTGGGCTCTGCAGTTCCTTATGGGCAGACACTCCCACCGGTGAGACAGCAGCACGCAGAAGCAGCTAGAAAGTTTGCCACAATCTCTACCTTCCCCTGCAATTTGCTCCTCTCCCAGCCTCAGCCTCTTCTCCCTCCCGGCGAAAGAGACCGGCTTTAAGGGCGTCGGCGGAGACGACACTTCTCGCAGAGGTTTCCTGCCTCAGCAGTGCCGCAGCTGGAAGGGCTCTCCCGCTGGAGGGCGGCTCCGGGCCGGGGGGCGCCGGGGGCAGCGCTCGTTCGGGGCTGCGGCCGCCGCCGTGTTTGCCGAGAGCCTCATGCTCGCCGCGGTGCTCCCTGACATCATTCATTCTGCTACGCGCACGCCCGCCCCCTCCATTTCCAAGCAGTGACTCACCCCGCCGCCGCCGCTGTCCGGGACAGGGCCGGCCGGACCGGCCGGGCCTCTCGGAGCCCCCGCCCGCCGCGCAAGGTGCCGGCCCCGCCCGC